GGTGAAATCTTTTTGGAACACTAATGGCTCTGGTACTAGGCCAATCCACTGTCCCACCCCATCCCCTCTCGAGAGGGTCCGGGAGTGCAGAGGCCCACTGCATTGAGTCTGTCAGGGCTCTCAGCTCTCCAGGCTGGGCTGCCTGACTGGAGCTCTCAGGCTTCGACCTCTCAGCCCATACATCCCGAGGACTTGTTCTGAGCAGGTGTCAACATGGGGTGTTTATTGCAGGCTGTGTAACCATAGCAACATCGAGGTAAGCTTTACTATCCCTGACTGTCCATGAGAACCCCTACAGATTTCAGGCCAAGGAGACGGTGTGGTCTTCCTGGGCTTCCAGACAGATGACCTGCACAGGAATGTAGACAGTTAGACAGGAAAGACTAGAGGCAAGCAATCCATCAGTAGGCCAGTGGACAGGAAATGATGGCTTCTTGACCCAAAGCAGTGACAGAAGGAGGGACCTTCTGGAGAGGGACAGAGAACATGACAAGGGTGAGCAATTGCTACAGATGCCTCTAGGCAGAGGTCAAGATGAGAAACACTGATTACAGCACAGCGTGATGCTTAGAGGTTCTCACTCTTCCTGCCTCAGCCACCACTGACAGCTTGAAATACTAAATGCTTTGTTTTATTGGTTTTTTTAAGACAGGGTTTCTCTGTGTAGCCCTAGCTATCCTGGCACTCACTCTGTAGACCAGGCTGGCCTTGAACTCACAGAGATCCATCTGCCTCTGCCTCCCAAGGGCTGGGATTAAAGGCTATGTGTACCACCACCACCCAGCTGAAATAATAAATTCTTAAAAATTAATCCCCAGGCCTAGAGAGATGGCTCAGCTGTTAAGAGCAGCTGGCTGTTCTTCCAGAGGACCTGGGTTCCGTTCCCAACACTGACATGTCGGCTCACAACTGTCTGTAACTCCAGTGCTGGTGGGTCAAACACCCTCACAGACACAAAGCTCCTAAAAATAAATAAACCATGAGAGAGAGAGAGAGAGAGAGAGAGAGAGAGAGAGAGAGAGAGAGAGAGAGAGAGAGAGAGAGGGTACACTTATTGCTCTTGAGTAAGACTCAGGTTCAGTTCCTGGCACCCACATGGTGGTTTGCGGTCATCCATCACCCCAGCTGCAGGGAGTCCAAAGCCCTCTTTGGACCTCTGTGTGCATCAGGCGCACACTTGGTGCACAGACAAACTCGGAAGTAGAACAGTCATACACTTAAAATAAACCTAGAAAACTATTTTTAAGATTTAGAAAGGCCCAGTTTCCACATGGTGGCTGTCTTCTAACCTATCTAATAAAGGAGTAATTCCATCTTAATTCATTTAATAAAATAGTTCACAGTTTTGTGTGAGTATTCTCTACCCCCCCCCCCCCCACACACTGTTCACTGGATTCGGGCCCAAACCAAACAAAACCCAAACCCAAACTGTCCTGTCTTTGTCCAAGACACACTGAGGCTATGCTCTGTAACTAATGATCCTCAAAATGTTATCTACTTGGTGTCCTGACCCAGGTCTTCTAGCGTGCAGACTGGAAACCTGTGGAGTGGCCCAGGCTGGGCAAGGACGCGGCCCTTCTTGTCCCATGAGGTGAGAAAGGAAGTTGGTAGGTTTCTGTCCTGGATGAGCTGTTTCACCTCAGCCCCAGTTAAGACTCCCACAGGCAGACGGCGCTTTCCTCTTGGTCAGGGAGGTGACCTGCCCTAGCGCAGGCCACAGTTCTCAGTGAAGGTTCACAGACTGAAGGAGCCTGCAGCAGAACACATCTAACAAGGTCAGCAAAGACATCAGCATTGCACGCAGAACCATCGACAATGACAAGGAACTTCTCTTAGAGCCCAGGAGCAGCGTGGGAAAGAATGTACAGGTCTGTGACGCACAAGCAGGTCGAGGGTCCTGTGCACACTCCCCAGACGGCCTGCGGTTTAGCAGCAATGTGCCAGGGCACCCAAGCGACTGCTGGGCTCTCAGGTAGTGAGAAGGAAGGATGGGGACTGTGGCAGCACAGAGTCACCGAGGTGTCGTCATCCATCGACAGGGGACAAACCGGGTTCTGCAAGTCACTCTCAGCCTCTCAACTCTGAACGCACATTCTGCACAACATCAATGGAGGCTGACCTTTAACTCCGGGTAATCAGCTGTTGCAGGGCCACAGAATTTGGACCCAGAGTCTTGCGCAAGCCAGGCAAGGGATCACCCTCTGAATGACACCCCCCAGCTCCACAAAAGCACATTTGTAAACAAAATACTATTCGGGCTGGAGAGATGGCTCAGCAGTTAAGAGCACCAACTACTCTGCCAGAGGTCCTGAGTTCGATTCCCAGCACCCACATGGTGGCTCACAAACATCTGTAATGGGATCCGACGCCCTCTTCTGGCATAAAGTCATACATACAGATAATGCACTCATATACATAAATAAATAAATCTTAACATAAAAATCATTAAAGAAAAAAAAGAAAATACTATACATAAGAGAGAGAAAAGCTTGTATAAAGCAAACAAACTAGATTTAACTCGATACTCTAATTTCTGTCCCGCTGACAGGCCTGGCACTTAAGTCATGTGTTGCCCACCCTCATGCTTCCCTTGGGCCCACGTGGATGGCCTCCTATACACACGTGTACCCTGTCTGTCCACTCAAGTCTGACCAAGCCCTGTGAAAGCACGGAGCTGGGCCACCATTCTGTTTCACAAAAGAGCAACATAAGAAAAATTCACCAAGTGCCTGGGATGCACCTTGTTAGCTGGCTGCATATAAGGTCCAAATACCAAAGTCACCATGAATGTGACACCTGCATTGATGACACTGGTCGTGCCATGTGCTGTCCTTCTGTCTTCTCAGCCTGGAGAAGACACTGCGTGCCCTCCAATTCTGTAACCACGAGAGCACGGCCCAAGAGAAACCGCACAGTACCACACATGGGCCTTTGCCCAGCTCCTTTTCACTTGCACGAGTCTCTTCACATACGGTTGTGACTGCCCCTTTTACTCTGCTGTTCCTTGTGATGGACAGACCATTGGTTGATGAGCTTGCTACTGAAGGACACTGAGTTGTGACTGGAATTTAGCCTTCACATCAGAGCACCAGGGTGTGTATGAGGAAACCAAGGATAACGTCTGTTTTCTCCTTCTACCAGGGATCTAACCTGGCTGTCAGGCTTGGCAGCAAGCCCATCCTGTCACTCAGAGCCATGCGCACACTAGGCTGTCAGGAGGGCTGTTGGGAAGGCTGTATGAAGCTGGCTCTTCTGGTTTTCTAGGTTAGGTGCTTAGGGATGTAACCGGTGAGCAGTAGAAAACCTAACACTTTTGACTTTTGAAAGAATGCCCGGCCCACTGGTGTCATCTTTCCCACACAAAGAATGATATAACAAAGTCATCTTTGGAGTCATTTTTCTAGGGTAAAGCTATTTACAGACAACTCTGTAGGACCCAGCCTTTGGAATTTACCAGAGGATATACTTAACAAGAACCATCCCAAATGCAAAGTGAGGGACAATGACCAGAGTGTCCGAAGTTGACTAGCAGCTTTCATGTCAGCAAGGGCTGAGGGAGACCCCCTGACTGTGGCTCTGAAAGCCAAGCACACACAAAGAGGGTCGCGGAGAAAGCAGAAGGGAGGAGATGTGAACCCTGGCTCGTGAGAGGAGGAACCTCAGAACTGCAGCGACAGTTTTCTTGTTGCTGGAAGTTGTCTAAGCTCGGCCATGACACAATGTGTGGCGCTGCACTGCCTGGGAGCAAAGTCAGCTCTTACCAACGGGCAGGGCTTAGCCCTCAGTCACGGTAGTGAGCGTGAGCACAGTGCCCTGACTCGCTGAGGCAAGCTTGCAAGGCATGTCCACCTCTTGGTAAGAGAGTGGCTTCCAGCAGTGGGGTGACAAAACCCCCAGGAAAAAGAACTGGCCTGTGGCAGAGTGAGAACACAACAGCCTAGAACATGAGTGGCCTGTGGTGGAGGCAGCCAAGCCCCAGAGAGCACCCTGCCCTGCATATGGGCCCTGGACTGCAGGGCAGGGTGCATGAGGCCAGCCCAGGGATGGGCACAGAGGCAGACATGGGGGCACTGTCACAGGAGTATGGGGTCAAGTCTGGGGTGCAGCCTCACAGCTGGAACGCTTGCCCTGTGTGGCGCTGATGAAGTCACTCATTTTGTGGGACGAAATTGTCACGTAGCTCCCCCATGCCAACCAGCTCTGACCTGAACCCTGAACCAAAACAACAAACCAGCAAGGGGATTTGGGTGGAAACCTGAGAGCCACTGACTTGATGGAAAGTTCTATCGGCCTGAGAGCCACTGACTTGATGGAAAGTTCTATCGGCCATGCTGTTCCATTTATATCCCAAACTCTGGATCCAAGGCCTTGGATCAATGTGCAGAAGTTCCAGGATCAAATTTTTGGTGGCCAGGAACTAACAGAAGACGCTGCTCTGTCGCAGTGCAGACTGCACTGATGGCCTTGAATCTGTTTCTATATACAACCTCAACTGCACGTACTCTATCGATTTGTTTTTCATCTTGAAAGTCACTGGGAAAGACATGACTACGTGTTACGTTCCCGGTTCAAATGCACTGGTGACATCATACCTACAGAGTGACTGGAAGGGGTTTGAAGCTAAGACACGGGAGCAAAATGTAAACAAAACCCGGTGCTGTCAGATCTTCACTGCCCACATCGTCTAACATAAGGTAACAGTGCTGTGGTAAACGGAGCCTGCCTGCATTTTCTGTGCACTGTTGGTTACTGTTATCTCTTTAAAGGAATCCAGTGGCTTCCAGACAGAGTACAGCCTGAAGAGCCACATGGTAAGAGCTTGAGGGAGCCAGCCAATCCTGCCACTGTGCACTGACTACTCATAACACGGGGTCTCCCAGTCAGCAGTGACTGTTCATAACCCAAGTCTACACAGATTCACAGACCTCAGGCAAGGGAACACGTAAGAGGAATTCCACCATTTCCCAGCCTCTTTTCTTCCTACTAGAGTGGTTTTAATCATGTCAGAGGCCCGGAGATGTCAGTGAACCCACCACTGCTACACTATGGCAGAGTGAAGCTTTGTATCTAGTCCATAATATTTCTAACTGCCATGCAACTCTACACATTCAATTAAGAAATCCAGAGCAAATGGCTCGTGCAGAACTCGTGCGTAGGGGGTGGGGCCAGCTGGGTGGAGCACTGATCTTGACTCAAACCCCAGCACATTCCATAGAAAGAAGAAACTTCACTGCTTGCTCATGGTGGTCTTATACCTCAGACCACGTTTCTAGAGGGCAAGACGGGGGTGTTATTTGTCTGAATATCCTGGCAGAGGCATCAAACAAAGAAAACTCATCCATCCTCCTATCAGCTAGACGTCCAACAGCTGGGTGCTGTGGGCCTCCAGGTTTGCTTCTCTTCTATTCCCATGTATATTAAGCAGTTGGCACACACGCCAACGTTAAACCCTTTTACTTGCTATTCTGGAAACGTCCACCACTATTAACACTGCCTTATAACAATATTTAAGACAGGCTCATGTAGCCCAGAAGAGCCTAAAACTATGTAGTCAAGGTTGACCTGATCCCCCTGCCCCCACCTCCTGTGTGTTCCTGAGATTGCAGCCATGTGTCTGGCATCTTATAATCAGCTTCAGTGGGTGAAGGTGACTATACTACATGCATGCGTCACAGTTTTCCTAGTGAATCTCATCACAAGCTGTTTGCCTCTTATTTTTCCTATTAACCAGGCTCAAGTTCATTGGCATTTTAAATCATGCCTAAGAGAAGTTAAAAATACACGTTTTTGATGGACAGCTGACTATTATCATAGATCTAAGGTGGATGACAGTTGTGGTCAGGTGAGGCCAGTGGTGCCTGTGGCTATGAAACTCAGGTCCTCTCTTTATGGCTCACTTGTTACTGTGACAGCAAGCATGGTGTCACTGTGAAAGCCTCAAGAGTCTGTGTGTGTTCATCTTAAACTAAGTTGGATTTAAAGGCTTATTTATTTTTAGGACTCTTGTATTAGAAGTGCTTGGGAATTAAATTTCTATTGATCAATCCTATGGTTAAAATGTGAGAGTCTAATCTTCGAGTTATCTCTCCTAAATAAAGATAATTATGCGGGGGCTGAAGAGATGGCTCAGAGGTTAAGAGCACTGGCTGCTCTTCCAGAGGACCGGAGTTCAATTCCCAGCAACCACAGGGTGGTTCACAACCATCTACAGTGAGATCTGGTGTCCTCTGCTGGCGTGCAGTCAGAACACTGTGTACATAATAAATAAATATTTTTAAAAAGATACACACACACATTTTAAAAAGATAATTATGCAAGTATTTACTTGGTATTTTTAATTATTTCCTAAAAAACCAGATTTATTTTTATTTATATGTGTGTATTTGGTGCCCTTGAAGGTCAGAAGAGGGTGTTGGATCCCCTGGATCTGGGATTACAGGAGACTGTGAGTGTCCTAAGCCAGTCCTGGGTCCCAAACTCAGGTCCTCTGCAAGAGCAGTGAGTGTCCAGCCACCACCATGGGGTCTTAAAAGGAGAATCGGTTGCCAGTATTCTGAAAGTCCTGGTGTAAGAAAGCTGAGAAAGAACTGTTCACAGCCCAGCACCGTGGAAGGAAGACATTAGAGCTGTCCTCTGAGGTTAAAAACACGGACATTCAGAGTAAGCCATGTTTAGATGATCACGGAGCTGCTGCCAAGAAACACTTACACTCTACATGCAAACTTCAGAGTGCTCACATTCTGTGGCCCTTCTAACATTTTAGTCCTTTGCCCCTTCTGAGACATGGCCTTATGTAGCCCAGGCTGGCCTCCCAGTGTGGCTGTGTAGCTGGCATGTGCCATCAAACCCAGTTCATGCAGAACTAAGGAACGAAGCCAGGGCTTCCCACAGTTGAGGCAAGAACTGTACCAACCGCACTACATCCTAGCCCTAAAATTCTAGATTTATCATTTCAACGCCATCCTATCGATATTTATTTCATAATTAAAGCTTCATTAACACAGCAAAGGGGAAGATTAATTAGAAATGTATTAATTAATGAACGATACTTCTCAAAGGGCCATTGCACTATGCTGACATTCACAAGCTAATTTAAACTAGGTGAATCAGGAGGTACTTAGTAGATGCCCTCAGGGAACTAAGCTTATTGAAAAGCAAAATCAAAGCAAAACCACGAGAATTCCTGCACCTATGTCTGATCATGTGAACAACTGCCTGTAACATGTGAGGTGCAGGCATAGGTCACTAGGTTTGGTCATGAGACCCTTATCACATGATCAACTGACAATCCTTTCCATCAAAGAGTCGTACAAGGAAGCCCAAGTCTAATGCGCACATTCCAAAGGGACCCCCTCATCCCAGGAACAATGAAGGTCTGCGGTGTCCCGTGCTCCACAGGAAGTAGCTGGGCGCAAGTGTTCTGAAGAAACCTTGTCACTGAACACAAAGTAAGTTTTTGTGGAAAAACAACTACAAAATCTTTGGAAATATCCTCTACTTGTCAGGAAGTGACTGACTTCCTGGACTTGCTGTTCCTAAGTATTTCTTACATCTGCGGCAAGTGAACCATTACCCATTTTTTTTTCTCCTCCAGCAAGAAACCAAAAACATTAAAGAGGGCTGTCTGATATATTCCGGCATTATTATTTAATTATTTAATGGCGTGAGTTTAGTCACAACTCAACTTTTAGAAAAGATAACAGGTTTAAATAAGTCTAAATAAAATTTTCATGAAAGCAGTAATTGCTAGTTTGGATAGTTTAACGCTTTGTTTTCTAGGATCTTCGCTGTGTAAGTACGTGGCGTTTGACGCGGCTTTGCATTTGTCAATCGGTACACTGTACACTGCCCCACTGTACACTGCCCGGGAGGAGGTCAGGCTGTGGGGACAGCTGCTTTCACAGTGTGGCTCAGGTGGCTCAGCAGCGCCACCTTGTGGGCAATCTAGTCCTCAGCTTAGTTTAGTCTGCAGACAGCCACGCTTGCTGTGAGCGTGGAAACCAAGAGTTACAATATGCACAGGCGCTCCCCCCCATACCTCAGAGGCAGGGCATCGTCCCTCACACACTTTGGGGAGGGTCTAGTGCATGATCCTGAGGTTGTCTGGCTACTGCCTACTTTCCCATAACACCAGGAGACCCTCACAGACCCTAAAAACCCAGCAGCTAACTCTCACAGACCGTCCTATTGGGGCAACACGCCACCCCGGAGCCCTCTGTTGGTTGGCCGCACATACCTAACGCAGCTGCAGAGGCTGAGCAGCCAACTTCACCCAAAAGCCATTTCAAACGGCTTATGGGAGAGGGACCTCCACACAGGTGGTGGATGTTTCACAGCCTCTGAGAGGGGAGGGAAGGGGTATCCGGGGCTATACAGGGGGGAGCGCTGGCCCTTTCCTCTCTTGGAGCTGAGAGTCGTCCTCTGATACCAGATAGTGAAGGTAGGAATGAGTGCCACAGTCTGGATTTAAGAAAGAAAAACGGGATTTCTTCTTTGTCCTGTGTTTCCAAGCCCAGATTATGGGGTAAGAATAAGATTAGAGGCAGAAGTAGAGAAGACTGTCTACATGTTGCCACTTGGGAACTACATT